CCCTCCACTCACCATCGCGCCCAACCCGCCTGATAACCAGCGCTGCGGCGCTCGTCTCGACCAGATCCAACCATCAACGCTTGCTCCTCGCTAGATATAGGCATCACAAAGACCCTTTGCATCCCCCAGTGTCGCAGCGCCCTCGACATCTCGGCCTCGCCACTTCTTCTCCTCCGCTAGATCTCGCCGTCGCCTCGGGTTGGGTCTTGGTGGGTTCTTGTTTTCTTGCCGCCGTAATGCCAGATTTTGAATTTTCAAATTTTTTATTGTCTTGCCATGAGATTGGTTCATAGTCACAGGCGAAGCAAAAATGTCTTGGTTCTATGGATTAAAATCGGGGTTTGGTTTTGTTCAAAAACCTTCAAAATAATTTGGGTCATCAAAACACTGGCTGCTTTAATACTCTTGCGTAGGATTTGTACAAGTTAAGTCGGATATAACCCTTGTTCTTTTTTCTCAATGTCTGCTTCAAAAGATATCTTTTTATCCTGATTATACTTTGAAGAATTTGTGTGCTGATGTGGGTTTTATCTGGGAGGATGTTTAGTTCAAGGATTCAAACTGATGTTAATCATGATTTATAATTTGTTATAATAATTTTTTTTTAAAAATACACGTAAATTAAAAATAATTCTAATAACGTGACTCAACTAAACGTCTTCTCAGTTATGCTTCTTGGCTTCTTACTAGATAAATGGCAATAGTAATTCTTCCTTTTTTTTCTTTTTTTTTTTCTCTTTTTGATGGTGTTTTATTCTAATGGTGCTCTGATGTTGATTTACAGAAATATTTATGTCCTTATGAAGTTGAGACATTCACAATTTGTTAATGCAATCGGCTGAGTAGAGGTTGGAGAACGTCATCTTGATGAAGAGATTGGACAGTAGAGGAGAGATTTTGCCATTTTGGATTGAAATTGAAGGAGAAATAGAGAGATTTTACGAATTTCCTCATTTTGCCCCTTGTCTTTCTCCATGTGCGATGCACATGTCAGTTTCTGTCAATTTTTTTGACGGAGTTATCAAAAGAACCATTAATACAACACATTTTGAAGTTTAAGGGTTCAATTATAAAAAATTTTAGTTTCCGCCCAACTTGAAAAGTTAAGAGGGTCTCATGCAATAAAAAGAAAAAAAAAACGAAAAATTTACAACAATCAGTGTAATTTCTTCTAATAAAAATAAAAATAGATTCTTAAAATATGTTTAACGTATGCATCTCATTGTTTATTATTATTTTTTTCTTTTTTTGGATTATTCTCGTTCACACTCTTGAATTTTGGGCTCATTTGAAGTTCTCTTGAATTTTAGAAAATCTCACTTAGGAATGACAACAGGATGCGGGAGAGGTGGGAAATAATTTCTCGTCCCCCTAAATTTTTTGGGTTTAGTGTCGGGTAGGGCCGACCCTTGTCTTTTAAGCCATCCCAAACCCCATTTTTTTAAAGATATTTTTTAAAGATACCTCATAAAATTACGGGCCGGCCCAACCTTAAATTTTTCAGATTTAGGGCTAGGTTGGGCCGACTCTCTCTATTTTAGAAAAATAAAGTGTAAATTTAAGTCCAAATCAAATTAGATTTATAAAACAAACCATATGCAAATCAAATTTAATAATAATGCAATAAAAACACTAACTTTTTTTTGAAATTTTAATATTGCATATATTTATTTATATATAATATATAATATATGTAAATGGGAAAAAGGCAGGGTGGGGAGTGTTTTCCCCGTCCCTGTTTTGCAATATTTGGGGATAAGATTTTGTTGTCATCCTCATAGTGATTATTGTTATCTCTATTCTTACTTTGCTCCATGAATTTTGAATTCTCCACTCTTAGTTCCTTTTATTGGAATTTAGTTTAAAAATAGATAATAAAAAGGCAAGTAATGTACTCACGTGGTCTTTTATTTGAATTTTGGTTAAACATAAAGAGATAAAAAATAAGGGTGCGTTTGGAATTATTTTTAGTTGTTTTCGAAAATATTTATGCACGTTATTTGAGGCACGAAAACAAAAACGAACTATAAATCGCGTTTGTTTAATAAAAATTTTGAAAACGAAAACGAAAACAAAAAACAATCATAATGGTTTTTGTGAAGAAAGTAAAAAACGAATGAATGTTGTTTTTTCTTTTCCGTTTTCATTTTTTAGTACTTATTAATGTTATATTAAATAATTAATAATTAATTACTAATTATATTATATATTAATTAATAATTAATAAATTGATATACTTAATAACTAATAAATAAATAGTAATTACTTAATTATTAATTAAATATTAATTTATTACTATTAAGTTTTAGTTTTATTAATAAAATAATAAATAATATAGTAATTAATTATTTAGTTAAAGATTAATTGTCAAAAATTAATTACCTAACATATTAACAATATAAGTAATAATAGGTTATTAAATAAATAATTAATAATTAATACATCAATCATATATTACGTTAATTATAATATATTAATTAGTAAATAGTTGGTAAATAAAAAATAAATAGTAATTATTTAATTATTAATTAATATTTAATTTTAATTATTAATATGTAATATACTAATCAATAATAATTAATAATTGATAATTACTAATTAATCATTATGTTATTAAATAAATATTAGTAATTAATTAACTAATTATTTAATTATGTAACTAAAAGTTAATAATTTAAATAGTAAACAGAATATTAATAAATTATGTATATACTAATTATTTTTCTTAACACACTAATTAATTACTTATAATCTAATAAATATGAGGACATTACTAACATAATAATTACTTATAATTAATTATTAATTACTATTTTTTAATTATTTAACATATTAATTTATTATATATTTTTTAATTATAAAATTACTCATTAATGATAATTTATCCATTATTATTATATTATTAATATATTAATTTTTATTTGCTAAATAATTATTAGTTATTAATTACTTAGTATATTAATTTAAGATTATTATTTACATGTATTCAAAACAAACATAAATATAATCAAACACGATTTTATTTTTTTATCATACTCAAACTAATCTCCTAAAAGACCACAAAACGTAATTTTAGAATCGGTTCGACAATAATTTTTAAAACAATTTTATTTTTATTTTTGTAACAAAAGTAAAATTATTTTAAAATATTACTAAAGAGGCCCTAGGTGACCGCACTTAATCATCTATTTTTATTGATTTCAATAAAAACTCTTATAAAAGTGCTTAAATAGGTCAAATTTAAAATTTAAAGGATAAAGTAAAAATTTTAAATTTAAGAACAAACGACCCTAAAATAAAGGCACTAATAATGAGATTAATCTTTTTTTTTTTAACATCTTATCTCGGTTTAAGTTGATTTTGAAAAAAAAAAAAAAAAAGAAAAAAAAAAAGGAAAAGAAGAAGAGAAAGAAAACACTAGAGCCCGATCTCGAGCCGTCGACTGTCACCCTGCGCGATCCCTCGTTCGCTCAGTTTTTCTGCCGTCGCGAGTCCATTTCAACCCACCTGTTTACCAAGCTCCTCCATGGTTGGTTTTCTGTTTGTATTATTATTATTGTTGTTGTTGGTAATTTCTGTTCGTAATTGTTGTTTGAAGCTGAGATTTTTGTGGCGGAAAGATCGAGGAGATGCCAGCGTTTCTGTTAGAATCGTTTATTTCCATTTTCATTCTATGATGATGGGTCGGGATTTCGTAGATTTTACAAATCTTAAAAGGGTTGCTTTGGATTGTAAATCTCAGCTCGTTGGTTAATAATGGTTATTTTGGGTTATAATTTGCTAAATAGTTTTGCCTTCTGAAGATAAGATTGAGACAGTCGTATTAGTATTTGAGTTGAGTTATGTCTTTGGAATATGTTTGATTGTTGAAAATTGCTATTCTGATTTTTGGTTGATATTGGTGAAAATTGCTGTGTTGATTAGTTTGTGTGTAGCTTCTTGTGATTTTTTTGTTGATTATCTTACTATGTTTGAACGATTGATGTTAGTTTGATTATTGGATATCTGCTATAAATCGGGTTGTGTGATTAGTGTGAATTAGTTGCTTATGTCTAGCCTTGATTAGACAAAATGCCTTGGTTCCCGATTCGGCCTTTTAAAACTACAACCAAGTTTATTGGTTTGGTTTTAGAATGGGTTAGCCTTAGACATGAAGGTTTTCATGAAGATATGAAAAAAAATTTCAGACGGAAGGATGTGTATTGAAGTGTTCTGCAATGGGTTTTCGTCGGAATTCTTGAATTGTTTCTAATCTTTATAACAAACACGTTTGCCTCGATTAGAAAAAACGCATCGGTTCCCAATTCTGCCTTTAAAACTGTGACTAGGTTAATTGGTTTGGTTTTAGAATGGGTTAGCCTTAGTCATGAAGGTGCTAATGAATATGTGAATTATTTTTTCCAGAGGAAAGATGTGTATTGAGTTTCCAAAATGGGGTTTTTTCTATGGTGGAAAATCTTTTTAAATAACAAACACGTTAACGTGTGTTGTTATGCAAATTCTTTGCTAAATTGACTCTAATTTGCAATATCTTCATTCTTCAATAGGCAAGCTCTTATAGAGGAAAATCTAGAAGGGACAAGCCTAGACCACGCTTAACTGAACAGAAGAAGCAGGAGATTAAGGAAGCTTTTGAGTTATTTGACACTGATGGCTCAGGTATTGGTTTTATTTATTGTCATGTTTCACTCGTTGCAATGTGTATCTGTGAATTTGAATATTGACTTTGGTTCTTTGATCTTGCTATTTAGGTACCATTGATGCCAAAGAGCTAAATGTTGCCATGAGGTATGAAGATTGTTTAACATTTTCTTAAGAGTCATTTTAGTTGCTTACTCTTGAATGTTTTTATATAACTGAAGCTGTGTTATATCAGGGCTCTTGGTTTTGAGATGACAGAAGAGGTAATTTCTTTTCCATGTTTTTATTTTTTGTTTACATGCGCATTATTTAAACTCGATTGATTTTGTGATAAAGATATGATTTATAGAAGGTTTAGTAAGAACAAGAATTAAAAATTTTCAATATTATATATGAAAGCTGTTCAAAAAAGTAACCTTTGTTTGAAACTAATCAAAATTGAATCATTTATGGCAAGAAAAAAGTTTGATTCATAGGGAGAAGAAGAGGCAAGAAACAAAAATATCATTTGATTCTTCGATCCTCAAGGAAAGAAATAGGCGTATAAGAACCTTCTTCTTTGTTGTGTATTTTCTTTTTATGTTTCTTTTATTTTTTTGACATTTTTTTGAATACTGTGGAAGCAAACAATTATTATCTGAATAAATCCAGTGTTTCAATTTAGTTATAGCCATTATGGTTACCCTCTTTTTTCTCATCTTACTTTTTCTTTGCTTAAAAATTTTATGCTGTTGCTAACATGCAGTTGTGTTGGTTCATTGCAGCAAATAAATCAAATGATTGCAGATGTTGACAAGGATGGAAGTGGTGCAATTGATTTCGAGGAATTTGTTCACATGATGACGGCCAAAATTGGAGAAAGAGACACTAAGGAGGAACTCATGAAGGCATTTCAGATCATCGACCAAGATAACAATGTGAGATTATATCCCTCTATCGGTTCTTTATTACCCCTGTCAATACCTAATCTCCATTCCGTTTGAGTTTAGGGGAAAATATCTCCTGCGGACATTAAGCGCATTGCAAAGGATCTGGGTGAGAACTTCACTGACGAAGAGATACATGAGATGGTCGAGGAAGCTGACCGAGACCGTGAGTCAGCCTATGTTCACTGCACTTTCCCCTTTTGTTTTGTTGTCTATATTTCGTGCGTTGCTAACGTTTACTTTATGTTCACTGCACTTTTCCCTTTTGTTTCGTTGTTTTTACCTGTTGCGTTGCCAGTATCTTCTTCCAATTTGTTTATGTTTCGCCATTCATATGCAATTTTGAGATATATCTGCTGCGCAATTTGATTCTGATTTTCGTATGTTATTAAATAGGAAGCTAATATGATATGTACTACCTAGTGCCGTTTATTGTCATCATGGTCTATCCAGTAAATTACTAATAACCATTTGGTTTGCAGGTTTGAATTGGTGTAGTTTTGAACAGTTATGGTTTAAACTGAAAATTTTGAATCTATGTGATTTAAATTGTAATTCGAACTGGCATTTGGAATAAAACATCACGTTAAAGAAAGTGGCATTGTAGTAAAGAATTGAGAAGTATACTGAACTTATCAATGGTTTCATCAACATAATGAAACCTTAATTAGTATAAATAATAAAGAGCATTGGTTATAGGAAGATAGAACTCACTATCTATATGAGTGATAAGACCTTAAATTGTAATTCGAACTGGCATTTGGAATAAAACATCACGTTAAAGAACTGGTGTTTGAATAGTGTGAGAATCGTAAGGCAACCAGAAATGAAATCATGGTTTTACCATACGAAATAGGTTCAAGTTTTACCTCTTTATGTTTTCATGATAATAAAAAATGGTATAATGTATTTATAGGTCGTGATTTTTCTTCTCTTGTTTATCTTAATATTTTAGATTTTTTTCTCCTGTATCCTTCGATGGATTATTTATTTTACTAATCATGGAAGAATGGCTGATAAACAGGCGATGGAGAGGTTAATGTTGAGGAGTTTATCAGGATGATGCGGAGAACAGCCTATGGGTATTAGAACTCTAGTATTCAATCTCTTCCTGGTGTTGGAAGCCTGATGAATTGCAGAATCTGTTTTCTGCTTTGTTTGTAGTATATAGTTGTTATATAAGCAGGAGGGGAGATTAAAGAATTTATGGTTTAAATACATTATGTTTTGGCCTGGATTTGAATATATATCATGTATCTTATTTTGACAGATGTGAAGTTGATTAAGCTGTTTATTTCATTTAGTATTTTGTATTATTTTGCATTATCAAGGAATTAGTTGAAGATTACTTACATGGTGCTTCACTGGAGTTCACCATTTGGCCAAAGTTAAACTACACTCACACACACATATATCATACTGTTGTTGGATCATCGCTTCTCATGCAGTGTCAATTCCGGACGGCACCGATGAGGACATTTTTGTAACTCGGATTTTACGAATCAAGTGGGTTTAAGTTTAAGTAAGGTTTCATAGCAAAAAGTTCAAGTAAGGTGCGAGTGTAATTGCTCTTATGATATATAGGGTTTTGGATTATTATCTCTTACATTTTAGTGTGATTCTCAAATTGTTCTCGAACTTTAAAAATTCATTTTGCTTTTTGAATTTGGACTTGTTCTCTATTAACTCCTATGTTGTAATTTATATTAAAAATATATAAAAAAATAATACAATCACGTAATTTTTTTATTTTGAATTTTATTAAAAACAAACATATAAAAATCAAATAGGCATACTTAACTTCCTATTTTTCCATTTAACTTCAACAAATTCTTATAAAAGTACTTAAATGGAACAAATTTAAAGTTAAGGGACAAAGTGAGAGTTTTTAAAGTTTAATTAGCAAAGTGGGGATGATTTCAAAGTTCAAAGGGCACCGGTGATATTAATTTTCTAAAGGGTATGTTTGTTTGACAGTATTAGAGTACTATATTGTATAATAGTACATTAATACAATATTTAGTTTGACTATCATATTATATGAACAAATACATATAATAAATTAATACAGTCTATGTTATATTATTAAATACGATTTATTTTTAATGTGTTATATTACATTATTTTATAATAAATTTATGATTCATGTTGAGATTAGATACGATTAAAAATTAGATTGAGTCGACAGAGTTACGACGGAACATATAATTGTTTAAAATTGAGATGGCATAATCTAAGTTTATATTTTTTTTTTATAAAATTACAATATCAAAAGTTGGAATATTCGGCGTTGAATCATTACTCTTTTAACTCATGATAACGCAAGTATGAACTATGAAAGATATTTTTTCTATTTCTTCCTACGTACGGGAAGGACCAAATGTTGGCTATCAATGGCATTCCTCTGTCGTCTCCTCCCCATTCTTAATCCTTCCTCGAGACTTTCTCGTCTCAGATACAGGCACTGCCATAACCATTCATCTGCAAACTCCAACAAGATCGTTGACTTTCTTTATCTGCTGAAGCTCTGTCGCTCTATCAAGGAATTGAATCCTCTCCACGCTCTTCTCATAGTATATGGTCTCGAAAGGAATGAGCTTCTGCTAAGAGAGTTTTTTGGGTCTTGTTTTCATCTGGGTGTTCCTTATTTAGCTCTCTGCGCGTTTAAACGAATCGAAAAGCCGAGCCTTAGCTTGCAGAACTTGATGATCAGATGCCTCTGCCACTGCGGTTTATACGACGACGTTTTACGTGTCTATCTCCATTGTCGGGTCTCGGGATGTTCTTCTAATGATTTCACGTTTCCGTCGGTGATTAAGGCCTGTGCGGCTCTGGGAGCAACAAGGACCGGACGAGAGATTCATTGTGTTGTTTTGAGAACTGGGTTTGAGAAGAATGTTGTTGTACAAACTGCTTTGATTGATCTTTATGCGAAATGCGGTTGTTTAAGGAATGCACGTAACGTGCTCGATAAAATACCTGAACCAGATTTGGTTTCTTGGAACGCATTGATTTCTGGTTATTCGCTGAATGGACTTGATTGGGAAGCGGTTGAGGCTTTCAGGAGGTTTTTTCTGATGGATTTTAAGCCAAATGTGAGCACTTTCGCTAGTATGATTCCTGTCTGTGCCCGTCTCAGATGGTTTAAAATTGGTAGATCCTTACATGGATTTGCTGTGAAATGTGGATATTTGGGGAATGATTTTCTCGTTCCCGCTCTCGTTTCGATGTATGCTGGTGACATGGACTTGTGTAGTGCTAGAAATTTGTTTGATTTCATGTTGCAGAAAAACGTTGCCACTTGGAATGCCATGATCTTTGCTTACACACAGATGAAAATGCCAGTTGAGGCCTTTGTTATGTTCCGAACAATGCTCCAAAAAGGCGTACAGCCTAACTTGATCACTTTTGTTTCTATCATTCCTTCTTGTGAGAATTTTGTTTTCAATAGCAAGTCTTTAGGTGAGTCTCTTCATGCCTCTGCAATTAGACATGGGTCTGGAAACCAACTTCCCGTGTCGGCAGCGCTTCTGTCGATGTATGCCAAGTTTGGCGATCTTGGTTCAGCAAATTATATTTTCTATCACATGCCTAATAGAGACCGACTGTCGTGGAACGCTTTGATTTCTGGGTATGTCTATAATGGCTTGTGGGAGTTAAGTTTGAGTGCATTTAGTGAAATGCAGTCCGCAGGATTTGATGCAGATGAAGTTTCCATTGTCAGCATTATCTCCGCATGCTCCAAACTGGACGCTTTTTGGCTTGGTAAATCCGTGCATACATTTACTTTAAGAAACGGTTTCGAGTCAAATCTCAACGTGTCAAATGCATTGTTGGCATTTTACGCTGGTTGTCATCAGCTTTTCTCATGTTTTAAGTTATTCCATGAAATGCCTATACGAAGCACTATTTCGTGGAATACTTTAATATCCTGCTGTGTGCACAATAGTGAACCGGAAAGGACAGCCACGGTTCTTCACCAGATGCAGAATGAGGGCCTAGAGCTGGATCCAGTGACCCTGATAAGCATACTCCCTATTTTTACTGAGAACAAGAAAATTGGACAAGGAATGGCTATTCATTGCTACACTGTGAAGTCCGGGTTTGCACTAGACATTTCTTTAGTCAATGCACTCATCAGCATGTATTGTAACTGTGGAGATCTTCATGCCGCGAAGTTTCTTTTTGAAGACATGCCTGAAAAGAGTTCGGTGTCATGGAATGCGATGATGACCGGCTTTCGGTGTCGGGGTTTACACAAGGATGTAATGATCTTGTTTGGTAGAATGTTAACTGAAGGAAAAAGGCCAAATCACATAACGCTTCTGAACTTATTGCCTGCATGCTGCAACCAATTACAAGGTAAGTCTATCCATGCTTTCGCAATTAGAACAGGAGTTGCACAAGAAACTCCCTTTGTTACGTCTCTGGTAATCATGTATGCTAGATTTGATAACATTAGATTGTGTCGCTTACTGTTTCAAATGGGGAAAAAAGAGGACATCTCTTTGTGGAATGCCCTCATGTCCGTTCATACACAAATGAAGAATCCCAGAAAGGCAATTGCCTTGTTCCCCAATTTGCTTCAAATTGGATTAGAACCTGACAATTTTACGGTTCTAAGCTTAATTGCTGCCTGCATTCAACTAAATAGCCTCAAGCTTGCCGATTCTACGATGGCTTACTCGATATGTAAGGGATTTGACAAAGAAATAGCAATCAACAATGCCCTTATAGATTTGTATGCAAGATGTGGAAACATTTCAACTGCAAGAAAGCTATTCAATCGTTTGAAAGAAAAGGATGATGTCTCCTGGAGTGTGATGATTAATGGGCACGGTTTAAATGGGGACGGTAAAGCTGCTTTTGATCTTTTCCAACAGATGAAACTTTCAGGGTTAAAACCAGATAGGATTATCTATTCAACTCTTTTATCAGCCTGCAGCCACTCTGGCTTAGCTGAGGAAGGCCGCAGGGTCTTCAACTCCATGGTGGAGAGCGGGATATCGCCTGGAGTGGAGCACTACGCTTGCTTGGTTGACCTTCTTGCAAGAACAGGCAACTTGAGAGAGGCTTATGACGTTGTTAAAGAACTACTACCCTGCAAATCATCCACAAGCCTACTTGAGTCTCTTTTGGGTGCTTGTAGCATCTATTGCAACGTCGAACTCGGAGAAAAAATTAGTAGAACGCTCTTCAATTTGGACCCAGAAAACCCGAGAGCATATGTGATGCTCCACAATATCTATGCAGCTGCTGGGAGGTGGGCAGATGCTGAGAGAGTGAGGTCCGAGATCGGAACAAGACGATTAAGAAAAGTACCTGCTTTTAGTCTTTTTGTTGGGGATGGAGTTAATCAATAGGAATTTTTTTTTTAGTACTAATCAAATACCAGTTTCTCCAATCAGCACACTCTAGTTCGTACTCGGAGGCATAACATACCATATAAAGGAACTTACAATTCCTACCTGCTAATAACAATTGAAAGTTGTAAATGAACTCGATTTAAGAGTATGAAGTTATAAACAACACAAATAACTTTTAAATTGATATTGTATTCAATTAATGCATTGGTCTTCTGGTCTACACAAATTTGCTTTACAACTAAGTTTTTTTAGGACGGTTAATAGTTTATTTTTTACAATAAACTAGTGGAGTTAAACACGGATCTCAATCGTATCTCAACAATGCTAAGAGGCACTATTGATTTTCAGCATCACACGGTAATAAATAGTAGGTCAGGACCAACAATTTAAATCCACTTTTTGTTAAAAGAAAATTACAGATTTTACTTTTTTAAGTACTTAACTTACTAAAAATATTTATTTTAAAAAATTATACTTCTTAATTAGTTTTAGTCTAAAAGACAAAAATATATAGGCTAACGTAAGGTAAAAATAAAAAAATAACTTTATTTCAAGAAGTATTTTTTAAAATTACCCTTTTGTTAGTTGTAGGACTTGAAGCCAAGATTCACCTCAAAAAAAAAAAAAAAAAAAAAAAAAAAAAAAAAAAAAAAAACTTTTAAGCAATATAGCTTTTTAATTGCGGTTTGACTAGTTTATGAAAAAGAGCTTATTAATTTAGCTTTTAAATTTGTTGGGTTCAATAAGCCAAAAACTTTTATTCTCACAAAAAGTAATGTATTATTAATGGAATTTTAAAATCGTTATTCACAAATTAAAACAATTAAAATGTAAATAGAAAAGTTTTTCATAAACACAAAAGAGGAGGTAACTTGTTCTAAAAGAATTTATTTAGGTGACTTGTTCTAAAAGAATTTATTTAAAAAAAAAAAAGAAAAAAAAAAACGATCAATGTGGTCATTTAGATACGTCGAAAAACAATTTTTGGATTAAGCTCCAGTTTGATAATGCTGTAGATTTAAAAAAAATTGTTATTAATTGTGCTGATAAAAAAAAAGATGTTGTCATAAAAAGTAGCTAAATGTTTGGTAACTATAATTATATAAGTGTTGATGGTTCTAAAAACAGTGTAATAACATTTGGTAAATTGTGGGGTTTAATTGTTGTGGGTAGTTAAGATAACCAAAATACACACGGTATGAAATTTAAATATGTATAATTTTGTTTGTTATTAAAAAATATTTGTTTAAATTAAAAAAAAAACACACAATTTGTTCATGAATTTGGGGACATTAAGTTTATAATAATTAATATTTCTTCATTCACAATATGTTGTTACAATAAAAATGAGTATCAGTGAGTAATCAACATTAGTGACCATTAGTGAGTAATCAAGAGAGATAGAGAAGAGAGAGAAACAGAGAGAGAGTGCGAAGAGAGAGAGGGGGAGACTGAGAGAACAAAGAGAGAAACGGAGAGAGACACCACAAAGAGAGAGAGAGAGAGAGAGAGGTGATGAGTCTCATAAATTTTGGGTATAGAATTTTTAGATTTCAAGAGAGATAATATAAGTATTAGAAAGTTTCATTAATTGGAAGTAAGGAGATTGCCGCATAATGTAAAATCTAAAATTACTTTTAGACTACTTCTGATTTTAGCTATAAATTTTTTATAAATTATTTAAAAATAACTTTTTATGATTTTTATCAAATACAAATTTTAATTATGAATGATTAAAGAATTAATTTTAAACTCTACAAATACTACCAAATTGAGCCTAAGTAAATCAAAAGCTGGTTATTTTAAAAGCCACCCATTTCAAATGAGGTTACTATTTTGGAGACCCACATTGACCTTATGTTGCCCATATTGACGTCACTATCTCTATGGTACAACTGAATTTTTTTTTTGGTGCCATTTAGGGCTGTTCATGGGTTGGGTTGGTGCGGGGTAGGATTTTTTTTTCTCCGCCCCAAAGGGTGTGGGTTGCACATATTTTGTCCCAACGATGTTAGAAAAATTTCACAACCCAACGATGTTCGGGTTGGGTTAGGACGGTGCGGGGTGGGTTGGGTGGTCGGTTTCAACATTCAAAGAATCAAAAACTTAAAGTTCAATATAATATTCAAACTTCATCATTAAATAGAAATAGCAACCATGTTTATCAGCACATCTAACATCAAACATGAAGCAAAATAGCCCATCCAACATCAAATACAAAGCAAACATAAATTAGTCTACACTTATAAATTAGTCTTAACATAAAATAAATAGCTTAAGCAAAGCAAACATAGAGGCTTAAATCTTAATTCAAATCAATCCAAAGCAAGCATTGCAACATCAACCATCTTTATCAATCCACACTCATAGGCTCCTCAATGGTTGTAGTAGAACATAAAGTTGAGTTATCTACAAGAGAAATGAAAATAGCTTAAGTAATAATTTGGATAGTTTAGAGTTCATATAATAAAATAGATTAAGATACATATAAATTATTGTCTTACCTAGATTTTCATAAGTCTCCAAGTCATCCAAATAGTCTCTTACTTGCATAGAATCATGTGTAGACTTCAACCAATTTTGAGTACAAACAAGAGCCTCCACCATCTTAGGATTCAAAGAACTCCTAAATGGATCCAGAATGCGACCACCAGTACTAAAAGCTGACTCGGAAGCAACTGTGGAGACTTGGACAGCAAGTACGTCACGGGCAATTTGAGACAAAACCTTGAACTTCTTACTATTATCTTTCCACCATTCTAAAATATCAAAATCAGGGGTTAAAGGGTTCACATTCTCATCAACTAGATACCTGTCCAGGTCATTTTTCTCCATATAACCCCCTCGTTGCTTCAAGAATTGACTTAACAACTCATTGACCGCTTGAACAGGTCGTTCTTTGGGAGTATTTGCT